AGGAGCTTAGTTCATTGCCAGTTGGATGTTAGAACCAAGGGAGAAAGACCCATGTGGATTCGAAGAGTTGCACAACAACAGGACAATGTAAATCAGATGCTAGAAGAAGGTAAGCCTTCAAGTACTACTGGCCTGACATTTACCAAGGGAATGGTGATCATCAATTAATGAGCTTTTCCTACTAGTTGTTTTAGAATTCGACAAAATGGCAATTAGTAAGTGGCAAATGTAGCTCTTGAAAAAAGGGACAATCAACCCATGGACAGTGGGATCAAGAGAGGTTTAAATTGTACTGTGAGGTATTTCAGTTCTCTGACTGAGTTTCCTGATAAGGAGTTTACAACCCTGGAATTGCCGAGAAGGGGAGGGGAAGGTGAGAGACAGAAGCGGACTCATTCCAGAAATATGAGAGAAACTGGGGGATGACAGTAATGCCCCAAAGCAGATTAGACGACCCTCTAAGGAACCCTCCCAAAAATGGAATTCTTTTCTTTGAAGGCAGGAAGGTTTTTCTTTTGTCCCTTAAGTACCTATATTTGCACTGGATTACACACACACACAAAAAAAAGATGGCATCTTGCTCTGTTGTCCAAGCTGGCCTTTAAGTGATCCTCCCACGTCATCCTCCTGAACAGTAGGAACTACAGGTGCCTGTACCACAGCCAGCCCCGAACCCTGTTAATTAGGGAAAAAGAACTTACATGGAGGTCGATCCTGTTTCCTGAGCACTATACTTTCAGATTATTTAACTGAATTTCACAATAATCCTGTCAGGTCTGTCTCACCGGTGAGGACAATGACGCTTGAGAATACTGTGCTTTGCTGAAAGTCACAGCCAGTTTGCGCAGCCTAGACCAACGCCTGCCCTCCCTTGGCTCCCCACATTCCTCTGAAGTGTTGGTCACCACCTACCAAAGGGAGCAACCAGCCCTAGAAGCCAGAACCTCCAGAAACTTTGAATGAGTGGGAAAGTAAAATTTTGGCTCCTACAAGCCCAGGGAGTAACTACCCTTCGTAATATGACTCTTACAAAGAAGCTCCAGCACCCTCTGCCCAAACTCAAATATTCAGACTAATGACCAAAAAAAAAAAAAAAAAAAAAGACTAATGAAGAACCATTCATCAGCCAAGCAAGAATGCAAATTATTTTCAGAAATCCTTTGGATCATGCGCAAATTGCTTACAGGTTCTCAATGTAATTCGAAGCTCTAGGGCCTGGGAGTGTGGCTCAGTTATAGCACTTGGCTAGCATGTACAAGGCCCTGGGTGGGGGGAAGAAATCAAGTACTGTACCTGTTTTATTACTTCCTGCATGGAGCAATTTCAACTGTTCTTCTTTTCCCCCCTGTGGTACCAGGGATTGAACTCAGGACCTTGGGCTTGCCAGGCAGGCGCCTAGGCCGCCGAGCTATCTTTCCACCCTAGCCTTTGTTTTCAAGTGTACTTGCTCCAGAGAATGAAGGAAACCCGCCAAGTGTCGCTGAGTTTTGGAGTTTTCTAAAACAGACCTTGCAGAGTGCTTTACATCCTAATCTACCACCGTCCCGGAGCTGTACAAACTGCATGTTGGTTTACTTGTGGGGTCTTTAACGGGAGATCCTGCTCGGCAAAAAGGCCTATCCTGAAGAAGCTCACCAGTCATGAAGCTGAGGGTAATAATTTTTATTAGTAAAAAACAAAATTATTACTTCATTTGTACTATAATGATGCCTTTAAAAAAAAGCCCAGGAAATAGTTTGTGATGTCCTCAGGACACTGACCAGAGTGACAAAGCAGTCCCATCTGCAGCATAATAGCATGCCAGTCTCTTGGCCTAGCTGTGGGTGCATCTGTAGCAAAAAAGCAAAGACTTTTTTAAAAAAAATTAGCAGGTGTGGATCAACTGATGCTTAACATGTTCTGAGGGAGAAAGTACTTTAATATGTGACTTAGTTAACAAGCCCTGCAAGCCGATCCCCCGCCACACCTCAGCCTCTCTAATCCTCTTTGCCGAATTCTTTTCTATCTGCTCCCTGCTCAGCAGAGGCTGTCACTTGAGCTGATGCCCTCCGTGAGCAACCAACCCTTCTGAGGAACTTCTTCCTGATGGGGGGGGGGGGGGGGCTTGGCCTGCGGCTCCCTGCCCTCTGCTCGGCGAGCCTCCTCCCATCTCTGAGCTCCAGAGCAGCTTGCTGTAATGCACTTGTTACCCTTCCTTCTCCCAGAGTCAGCCTCACAAAATTCTTCCTGTATTTTTCAAATATCTTAAAATTTAAATTTCTCTACCACACAGTTTATTTATGCCTCGGTTTGTTTTTTAATTAATTTTTTTTTTTATTTATTTGAGAGAGAGAGAGAGAGAGAGAGAGAGAGAGAGAGAGAGAGAGAGAGAGAGGCCAGCTCAGCCCACCAGGGGGCAGGGCTGGCTGGCATGTGGTGCTGGGGGATTGAACCGCGGTCCCTGATGCTTTTGCTAAGCTTGTTCTAAGTAGGTGCTTTAGACCACTGAGCCATCTCTCCAGCCCCCCTCGGTTTGTTTTTAATTTCAACATATGGCCCCAAGGATGAGAGTAACATTCCAACATCATAGGATTCATGAAAGGGCACAAAGTGCTGACTCCCTTAACACTAGGGTATTAGGGGTCTGAGAAGTAACTGCCTACCGAGAAGTTACCAGTGTGGGGCCCAGGGAGATAGCTCAGTAGAATAAGCATTTGCCTAGCAAGTACAAGGGCCTGAGTTCAATCCCCGGTTCCGCAAAAAGAGAGAGAGAGAGAGAGAGCAGTTACCAGTGTGTACAAAACAAGGGAAGACAGCTTTCATTTCAAAAACAAACAGGCTCATGGCAGAAATAAAATCCAAAAAGAAGGAAAGAACATACATCTGCCTTTATCCCCAAATTAGTGTTTAACTATACCACTTAAGTGGAATATATTTTTTCAGAAGGACAAATTGTAAATGCTTCTTCCTTTTCATTATCTAATTCTTATATTATTACATCAAAACATGTTTGTCAAGACCATAGTGCAAGGAAATAAATAACCAACTACATTTAAACATCACCAAATATTTTTTCTTGGAACCCCAAGAGCTTTCCTAGATGCTAATGAGGAAGTGGCCCATAAGTATCTACACCATGAAGTACAGAGCTCTACAGGAGGAAGAAATATCTACCTTTACGGCCATTGGTCTGATCCGATCAGCTCCTTCTGGTTTAGTTTACCTTAAGGTGTTTCACTCTAATCAGAAGAAAGTTCAAAATAGTTTACATATGATAGTTATTCAGAATGAGTTATTAGCTCAAACTTGATGCTTGGCCTGCAGGGCTTATGGGATAGCTTATAGGGGACAGGAAAGAAGCCATCCACCTCACTGCGGAGTCGCAGGGTCCTTCCAGGCATGTGTTCGTAGAAGATGAAAGACAACGAATCCGGTCCTCCACTGCATCTACGCCCTTGCGCCAACAAATCTAAGCTGCTTAAAATGACAGACTAAAGACCTGATTTTGCCCATTGGTTCCTACTTTACCCAACTCTGAATCCAAGTTGGACACACCGCCTCGTCAACCCACTTCACGCTCATGTTGAGTTATTTTCGAGGGCTGGGGAGATAGCTCAGCAGCATAAGCACCTGCCTGGCAAGCACAAAGTCGTGAGTTTGATCCCCAGTACAAAAAAAAAAAGTTATTTTATTCAGGGAGAGATTGTAGGAGGAATGAAAGGCCAGTAAAAGCCAATGGCTTAACCTAAATAATCTACAGAAAAGATAATTGGCTGCATATAATAAAAAATTAAATGTTAATATAATTCAGCAGATCTAACAAAAACATACAGGAACATAGAAGTTGTATAAGCAAAGAAGAAAGCATAAAATCCTTTGAAGGTGAGCCTACAAAGCCATAATATCACTAATATCAGCAAATTATCTGATTCCATAGACTTCTCTCAATCCTTACTCCATAACATGAATAGATTTTCACTGGAAACTGAACCATGCTCTGCCATGTATTTAATAACTTTTTTTAAGAACGATCAGGGGCTGGGGAGATGGCTTAGTAGAATAAGCACTTCCCTGGCAAGCGCAAGGGTCTGAGTTTAATCCCCAGTTCCACCAAAAAAAAAAAAAAAAAAAAAAAGAGTGCATACCCAAACAGAAAAAGGCATGGTCCATAATGTTTCTTATCCCATCAAGCCCAAATGAATCACGGTAAAGCAACTCATTTTTCATCCTCCAGAATCTGCTTTTATATAAAGAAGGCTCATCTCAGCAAATAGCGCCCCAACTCCATTTAGTGTCAACTCAAGTGCTATTTTTCTTGTTCGTTTGTTTGTTTGGTCTTTTTGAATGAGACAGGGTCTTGCTATGCAGTTCAGGCTGGCCTTGAGCTCATTTTGTAGCCCAGGCTGGTCTTCGAACCCGCAACAACCCTCCTGCCTCAGCTTCCTGAGTGCTGAGATTAAGGGTATTTGCCACCACATCTGGCTCAAATACTACTTGAAGGAATTTCTATTTAATAATTTTAAAAAGCCCCATAAGCCCCATGTCACTTATTTAGCCAATATACACTGCACCTACAATCTTGTCAGGTTATGAAGCTTGAGATGCATCAGTGGACAATATCCACTGGGCCAAATCAGAAACTCACCTAACTAAGAAAAGGAGGAACGAAGCCTCACTCTCATGTGTCCCCACAGGTAGGCCATGCCGGGTGACTGTAAGCTACAGAATGACTAGGAGGAGGAACAGAATAAAGGGTCAAGAACACGACTCTACCCCTTTTGTGAGTCTGCCCAAAGATGGAGGTCAGCCTTGGGAGTAAGAATTCCAGACAGGCGTGGCCTTGAAGCTATTTTAGAACTAATTCATTCAATCTAACAAAACTATCTTCTCTTAAGTTCACAAGGCAACCATATTTTTAACACACGTGCTGCTGGGAGGAAAGCTTGGGACTTGCCGTGGTGGGCACACTGGATTCGTGCCTTAAAAAAGGTAATAAACTGAACGTTAGAACATTCTGTCATAGTTCAAAAAGTAAGTTCTGCTCACTTGATTATCTTCTGATACCTTTAGCTGTTGGCTTAGTGGAAAAGATGGGGAGGAAAAGCAATAATAATTATAAATTATTTTGGCTTTTATTAGGATGATTTTTCTTTCCTACAGAGACTCTAAAAGAAAGGCAATTCAAACTTCTGGCATCTCCTTCTTCTTTCCAATACAACCGGGACCAACACAGTGAGGCCAGTCAGAAGTAGCAGTCCCTAAACAATATATGTAACCCCCTGTGCAAGAGATTGGTCATCCCAGATCTGCTAGAGAGAGGCTGAAAATGCTGTATCAGTACCATGAAGTGTATGACTCATTACATTAAGTAGCTTTCAAACATCAGCGCATCAGATCCGAGATTGTCACCATCTACAGCAATGGCAGACTTACATCATGTCCAGATTTTATTAGGTGCCCCCCCACTTATGCTAAGCATCGAGCTGCAGAAACATCTGATAGCGTCAACAGTGTACAGGGTTAACTACTTTCCCAATTTGCATTTGTATCAGCGAACAAATTGGAAAGAATCAAGTATGGCACTAAGGAAACAGGAACACATATTCAGCAGCACATCTTCCGTTCCCATCCTGTTTCAAAATTGGCTAAGAAAAGGCATATATACCTCCATTTGAATTGGAGATTTGCAGTAATGCATGCGAAGCAGACAAGAGGGAGGGAGGAGGGTAAGGAAAAAGGTAAGAGCGAACCAGAGGACAGACCAGGAGAGAGGAAAAGAGAAAGACACAGGAAAGCATGTGCGGCCGTGCGTCTGGGAGTAACATCATAAAGAGATGATTAATGACGGTTCAACCTGCTTCACTTAATAGAATTTTGCTAAGGTTATTGGAGATACAAAAATGGTTTGTGGGACTTTTCATCTACTGCTATTTTCACTTATCATATGAAAAATATCTATAAAATCCTAAGCCTTGGCTTACCCAAGACAGCTAGTACCAGGAAGTAGAAGATGCAACCTGTTAATAAGGGCTGTGCTCTGCCTGAAACCCTGCTCTGCTGTCCTTAATCCACAGTATTTGGTCATATTTGCTGTTTCCTCAGACTACTAATAGTGTCTTGGAACTAATCTTGTATTTTAGAATATCTTCAACCATTTGTGGTTGTTTTGTTTTTCCTTTTTTAAACTTTCATTTACTTAAAGGTCAGGAAAGATGAGAAAATAGAAGAAAGATTTAAGGAGGAACATGAAAGAAAAAGTATTGTCTTTTCCAATAAATCTATCCTAGAAAAGGTAGTAATGAAATGCTGAAAGAAAGTTCTGACTCATGGACTTCCCCACCTTTTTTATTCTAGGTAACACATGTAAGGGCGTGTCCACACTGAGACGCTTGGTCTGTGAAGCAGTGGGATCGTTAGCACCAGAAGGAGCCATGGAGCTTGTAATTACTATTAAACACCGACTGTTACTGTTGGTCATGGGTAAAGGCTTCATTTCGTTTTTACATCCCAAAGTTTTTGAAAGTGCCTGTGGACAAAAGAAACAACACTTTTCAGAATCTCCATGGGGTCACCACAGAGACAGTACTTGCCTTCCCAGTTTTGGTTTGTCTGGTAGACAAGAACACCAGGGCCACTAGATTACCACTGAAGCCCCGAAGAACAGCCCCCGTGCGCCCACTAATGCGCAGGAGGGGTCCCTCTGGTACACTCCCCCTGGCCTGTGTCAGGAATGCACTTTTACTTGCTTTTAAAAAAAACAGAAGCAACATGCTCTGCAGATCACGGAGTGCCTAATGCAATTTTCTCCTTGCTCCAACTCCAGACTGCAAAAGGGTGAAACCATGTATGTTCTGCTAACGCTGCCCATGGCCAAGGCCCCTGCCTGCCACGCTTGGCAAGCTCAGGAGCCCACAGGAGTCAGAAGGTCCAGAGCTGGAGCCACAGCCATCGCCAGGGCTCGCCAGCAAATCGTGGCCATCAAGGCAGCTGCTGATTCCTCTCGCTTTTCCTCGCGTCAGCCTTTAGTTGAAATTACAACAAGTCAAATAGCTGATGCTTTTCCCCTCTCCGGGTAAAGGTGAGGATACATTGTTCACCAGAGTGTTCTGTCTGGCCTCACTGATGAGCCGGCACGCTAAGTCCAGGAAGAGTTTCTCCACATTATCCGACTCCTTAGCTGAGGTCTCCAGGTAATACATGTCCTGGGCTTCTGAGAACTCTTCGGCTCTCTGCTGGGAGACCTCTCTCCTTTCGGCCAGGTCAATCTTGTTTCCTGTAGCAGTGTTGAAATCAAGAAATAAGCTTTATTTGACTTTTGACTTTTTACAGAATCAAAATATCAGTGCACCGTTTATAGTGGCAAAAAACTGAAAACAGCCCAAATGCCCCCCAGTATGAGAGCAGCTGAATCAACCATGAAGCATCTGCACAGTGGAAAATCTGCCTCTGCAAAAAGCAATAAGGAATGTTTGTGCATACAAAATGAAACAAGAACACTGGGATGTATTAAGCTAAAAAAAAAAAAAAAAAGCAAAAAAAGCCATGTAGTTTACAACATATATACACACATTTATTTGCTACTTCTTTGCTTAGGGAAAAATAAATCAAAATCTTAAAAGAATTACCTACAAAAGGGTCAAGGTTGAGGAGACAAAAGTAGAAATCAAAACTTCTCAATACATTTTGTTCTACAGATTTTACTTGGGACACACAACTTCATATAATTTACTATAATTACACAGTACAAAACTTAAACTTTGCCAAGCAATCCCTGAAAATTGAAAGTGAAGTTAATTATATTTATCAGGTAGTGATATAAGTACTCAAGTATGTCACATAAATTTAGATGCAGACATTTGTCACAGGTCTCAGTCCTCTTCTCTCATTGCTGGGACCAAATAACTGACACCCAAAATGAAGGAAGGAAGGGTTTCTTTAGCTCACAGTTAGTAGAGGTTTCAGTCCATACTCTGCTGGCTCCAAGGCAGAGCAGCAATGGCAGAGGGCAGCAGTTCATGGTGGCAGAAAACAGCAAAACAGCAAGAGCAAATGGGAAGAGTAGCGGCAACAACAGCAGCAGAGAGCAAGTCTGTCTCCCTGTTATGGTTTGTGTCTAGTTGTCCCCCCAAAGCCTCATGCAGTCATGGGGTGAGGACTTCTAGAGTGTGTGTTAACTCATGATCCACTGGGATTGTGTGTGATCCAAGGCTGGGATTATGGGTCTTAGTACTGAAGGAATTACCCATAGGTGGGTAAGTACTGGGAAGTACCCATAGGTGTGAGTACTTCCCCTACCCTGGGGCAGGTAATTTGCATTACAATGTAAGGTGGGAAGAGAAGCCAG